TTTTCCTTTTTGAAGCTACAGATCTGAGTCCATAACAATAACCAGATTCAAGGGTTTGATCAGGGGTTTCTACCTGTGGTAATTGAAGATTCTAATGTAAAAGAAATCATAATCCTTAACCTCCCTCACATACTTTGCTAGAAATGGAATTGAATTTCAGTAAACTGGTTTATACAAGTAACCAAGACAACTAATGAACCTTCAATCCAGCCTAACCATCTTACCTCAGATCCATGTCTCCATCCAGCCAGTAGCAGACAATGTTTGAGCTTGTTCCTCCAGGACAGCAGCCCATGATGATGATTACGACAGCCTGCACCGGGAGCACCCCAAAAGCAAGAGAAAGCGCAAAGGCAGTGAAGGGCATGATGCCAAACTGGCAGAGGAAGCCGATGACGATGCCCCAGGGTTTCTTGACGTGGCCTAAGAGCCTTTTGGCATCCACGGTGCAGCCCATGGCAAACATGACAAAGGCCAGCATCACTGTTAGAACAACGCTTAACACAGAGCTGAGGGTTGCATTATAGTTACTGGCAGAAGCCAGGCAGTCTGCACCTGAGCAGACTGTGGCGGAGGAAGGACAGGCTTCCATAGGTACAGCTTTTAGTGTCATTATGAAAACTGGATGGAAGGAGAAGATTGAATTCTTAGATTCCACAAGATGATTCCAGGATGTCCCTCCGTCCTGGTCCAGGTAATGACGATGCCAGTGGGGGAAAGTTGCTCAATCTCCTCTCTTTATGCCCACACCACTGCGGTGAAACAAAGTTGGGAGGGTTGATCAAGTAAGAAAAGATAAAAAATTAACTGATACTTAATGTTTTTATGGGGTTAGTGTTCAGAGGATGGGGCATATAAAAAGGGAATCCACTGAATCATGGAATGTGATTGCATTGGCTGCAGCTTTTTATTGCCGTAGGGCAATTCAAACTTTATTGGGCAGCTTTGCTGTACAGCAGCATCATCATCCGCCCCTGCCAGGAATGACGAAAGATGCTTGCAAGCTTTAATTACAAGAAATAGCACATCTTTTAATATTTTCTTTATCCAGCCTCACTTATTTTTCTTTTTCAAGTGAAAAAAATATATATATCTATATTGGGTGCAAAGAGCAATTAAGATTATCTGATAAAAATTCATTACATTAATTTTGACAATACTCTGAGAGAAAAAAGTCAAAAGTCCATCCTAATATAAAAGAATTATCTCAGTTTTATGTGTTTTTGTATTTCACTCAAGGCTTCAGGGTTGTGTCCGTTTGGTGAAGCTCTTTGGTGCATAATATACTTTATAAAGAAGCAAGGCAGTGTATCTGGAGAAAAGGTAATGACTGATTTAGTTTAAACCATTCAAAGGTTGAATGAAGCAATTGGGTCCTTAAAGGTACCTATAAAAAATACTATTCAGCAGATTTCTTGTTTTGATGTTTCCTGCTCCTCCTTCAGTGTTAGAAAATCATATACAAACAATACATTGCAACAAGTTGCTTGATCACCTCTATCATGCTGTTCATTACTGTTGTGAAAGTACCATTGTATTTTAACCTGTGGTGTTCTTTTGTGTTTATTTTACACAGTGAACGATTTTAATACTCAGGCTGGATTCACTCTTCTTTCAGTAGCTGAACAGAGACAAATTTATTTGGTTGGTGATTCATAACTGCTGATAGCCATAGTCAAAATTACTAAACTGGTGAAAGACAACTGGATTTTAAACAGCCAGATTCAGGAGTCCAAACGTTTATGTAAGAGACTAAGAGCCCTGGTTAGTAAGCAAATCACAGTTATGATCTTCCAACTGATAATTGTAATCAGTTTTATGTTGATTTTAATGACCTTTCAATCAACTATAACAGTTCGAGTTATTTAATATGTTCATAATCTTCTGGTAAACTTGCACAACTGTACAAAG